TTTTTGGAGACGGAATCTCGCTCTGTTGCCCAGGCTGGAGTGCAGTGGCACAATCTCAGCTTGCTGCAACCTCCACCTGGAAGGTTCAAGGGACTTTCCTGCCTCAACCTCCCGAGTAGCTGGGATTACAGGCGCCTGCTGCTATGCATGGCTTGGATCAGAGGCTTTGTTGAGCTGTTAACCAAGCTGTCAATCTCCCACCCTCTGCTTCCCAAAACTCACACCACCATGAGACCCTCTGACCCCTTCCCTCTTCCCTCGCTGGGCTAGAGCTGGGGGAGGGTGTGCTGGGGCGTTCCACTTCTCAGCCTTGGGCTACGAATAAGTCAGCCCTGGAATTCCCCTGAGCAGAAGCAGCCCTGGACTTCCCCAGGGGAAGAGAGGATGAGGAACAGAATATACATCTTGAAGGAGGTGAGTCCCTTAAGCCTTGATGCATTGGCACAGGGCCAAGTTCCCAAACCATCATGATCGGGCCCTGGAACCAGGTGTTGTGCTGGGCCAAGATACACCTGGCAGGTGGCTGCTATAGAGTTTCCTATTTTACAGCTGAGAAACTGAAGAGACCCAATTTAGCAGAGCAAGGCAGTAGCTCACACCTGTCATCCCAGCTATTTCTGAAGCTGAGGCAGGAGGAAGGCTAGACCCCAGGAGTGCAAGACCAGCCTGGGCAACAATACGAGGCCTGCCTCTCCCCTCCATCTCCAATCCCTCATCCTTTTTTAAAGCTGCAATCCACAGCTCGAAGCCACACGTGCAGGTGATTCAGGGTCTGAATACAAGGGTGCTGCCTTTCAATCGCTGTCTCCAATCCCACCTTCCCATAAACAGCTAACTAGTTATGCCTGACCCGATCTCCGGCGAGCTGGGAATCGGTCCTCCCGGGGATTCGGGTAGTCGGCCCGACGGCAATCCCCACCCCCGACTCACCTGGGAGCAGAGCGGCGAGCAGGACCAGAAGCGCAGGCAGCGCGGGCCGGGGGCCGCTGGGAGCCATAGCAAGGCAGAGGTTGCAGCCCCGAGGCGCAGAGGAGCTCAGCGCCGACTGGGAGGCGTGAGGCGCGCGGTCCTTTATAAACGCTGGCCACCTAGAGGCCAAGGGGCGGCGCTGCTTTCCGGGAAACCTCGCGCTTTCCCCTCCGGAACGAGGGCTGAGGTATTTCCGGACTGAGGGTGTCTGGCCCGAGCAGGGTCGCCGTCCTCGCTGGCCGTTGCTGCTCCGGAATTTCCAAGCTAAAGCAGTGGGGCGGCGGTGGCGGACTGACGACCCCGGGGGCTGCTCCCGGCACCCCCGCGTCCCGTTCCCCGGCCAGGCTAAGCCTGCATCACTGTCTACACCGCCCTAAGCGGTTTATTAAGTGCTATTAAGTATTGCCAACTTCCCCGGACAGTGGAGACTGTTACTGTGTTCATTTCACAAGGCGGCAAAGTGAGGCTCCGAGCTGCGAAGGGATCCGAACTCAAGTTCTCCCTCCCCAGCACACGCAGGCCTCTTCGATCCAGTGGATGAGCCCCTTGCCTGGGTGGGGGCCCAGGAATCCTCCAGGGCTCCCTCTACTGAAGGGTCCCCCTCCCACTTAGGGTCATGTACCTGCCAAGCTGACACGGACTTTTCTCGAAAAGCGTCCGGAGCAGAGCCAGGCACCCCCCGGGGCCCGCGGAACCGTGTGAGTGACGATGCGCGCCTCACCACGTCCGGGGGAATCGGCGTCCTCTCTCCACACCCGAGGGCGCTGACACCCCTGCGGCCTCCCCGCTTCCCCTTTCGGCCTTGGCCGCGGGGGCGTCTTTGCAGCTCCCAGAAAAAGGAAGGAAGCTGCGCGAAACCCACGCGCTGAGCCCCTCCGCCGGCGTCCCAGGCTCCGCGGGGTGAATGAGGCAGTTAGCCTGGACCTTGACGAGGGAGGGAAGAGGGGACCCTAGAAACCCCTGCCTGCAGCTGGGAAACTTAGCCCCCAGGCGCCGAGGCGAGGCGGGGAGAGGGGGCGCTCAGACCCTTGCTTGCTGCTGGGAAACTGAGGCAGCTCCAAGGTCCCAGGCGAGGCGGGGAGAGGGGGCGCTCGAACCCCTCGCCCTCCGCGGGAGGCTCCTCGAACCTAGGCGTGCACTAAGTATGAGCGGGTGTTTGCCCACCGCCTGTGCGTGTGACCCCAAGATTCGTCATCCACCACGTCGAGGCTGTGGACTCTGAAGTCTTCGAGCGCCGAGCCGCGCCGCGCAGCCCAAGGCTTTCCTGTTGTGGGACGCGGGCGGCGTCGCCATGGGGATCTCGGAGGGGCCAGGTAGGTCGCGCAGCAGAAAGGGGAAGGGAAGGGTCCCGGGTCGCGCGGGCCCTTCCTATCTGGGAAAGGGGCCACTTGTCACTGGCCATACAGAGACGCGTATTTCCCCCGCCTCGGTCATTCCCAAGGAATTTCCACGGGGATGTTTTTTTCTTGGGGAGTTGAGGGGTACTGAATCCCCGCCCCGGAACGGCCTGGGCAAAGTCACAGAGTGGGACGGGGGACGCCCCTACTCCGCAGACGGCCTGGGAAAATCCTGCGCCACGGGTTTTTCTCGGGCGTGTTCCACCGAGCGCTTGTCCCGGCCCGAGGTGCGCGGCCAGCGAGCTCCCCCGCGCGGCCCAAGTCCCATTTGCAGCCACAATGGCGCCATTCTTTTCTCAACACGTGACTCCGTGTTTATTAAGCGCCTACTGGGTGCTGGGCATCCTTCCAGGTGCTGGGGACACAGCAGTTAACAGAATCGGACAAAAATCCAGCTGGGCGCGGTGGCTCCTGCCTGTAATCCCAGCATTTTGGGAGGCAGAGATGGGAGGATCACTTGATCCCAGGAGTTCAAGACCAGCCTGGGCAACCTAGGGAGACCGCATCTCTACAAAAAAATGCAAAAATTAGCCAGGTGTGTTGGTGCATGACTGTAATTCCACCTACTTGGGAGGTTGAGGCAGGAGAATCTCTTGAACCCGGCAGGTGGAGGGGGCAGTAAGCCAAGATGGAGGCACTGTACTCCAGCCTCTGAGTGAGACTGCCTCAAAAAAACCAAAACAACGAACAAAAAACGGAACAGCCAGACCAGTGTGGCTGGAGCAGGCTTAGCAAAGGAGAGATTGGAGGAGAGGAGCCGGCAGGGAAATGACAGGGCAGATAGGCGCAGGTGCCTGTCACCTGGGGAGGACTTTGTTGTTTTGTCTGATTTTTCTGAGACCCAGTCTCGCTCTGTCACCCAGGCTGGAGCGCAGTGGCACGATCTTGGCTCACTGCAACCACTGCCTCCTAGGTTCAAGCAATTCTAGCAGCTGGGATTACAGGTGCACACCACCACACCTGCCTAATTTATGTATGTTTTAGTAGAGACAGGGTTTCACCATGTTGGTCTCAAACTCCTGACCTCTGGGGATCCGCCCACCTTGGCCTCCCAAAGTGATGGGATTACAGGTGTGAGCCACCATGCCCGGCCAGGACTTTGGTTTTTATGCCCAATGAGGCGGGAGCTATAGAGGGTTCTGAGTGGAGGAAGGACCTTGCCCCAACTCAAGTGTTCACAGGGGCCCAGTTGAGGCTGCAAGAGCTGCAGACAGGAGATAGGAGAGGAGGTGAGTGTTCTGGTCCAGGTGAATGATGATGGGTCCTTGCCTGGGCAGTGTCCTTGGAGAAGGGGCTGAATTTGACATTCATCTTAGAGGCTGGGCCAACTGGAGGTACTGGGACAAGGGGGTGACTCCTTTGATCAGGGTCTGAGCCTTTTGGAGGCTGGAGGGCCACTTTCTTTTTCTTTTTTTTGAGATGGAGTCTTGCTCTGTCATCCAGGCTGGAGTGCAGTGGCATGATCTCAGTTCACTGCAACCTCTGCCTCCCAGGTTCAAGCAATTCTGCTTCAGCCTCCTGAGCAGCTGGAACTGCAGGTGCATGCCACCATGCCCAGCTAATTTTTTGTATTTTTAGTAGAGATGGGACTTCACCAT